TTTGGCTTTAGCACATCCATGGAAAGGATTTTTTTCTTCAAGGCATTTAAGAGAAATTGTGTAGCTATGATAACAGAGCCCCAGACATTTTACATCCATCTCAGTGATGTGGCAGCTCAATCCACTTAGAGTTGTTCCCTGGAAGGTTCTCTGCTGACGCTCAGACTTCTGAGGTCCAGAGCTTGTGCGCTGGGATCATTGCTGTTCAATAGGGGAAAGCAGACTTTGAAGATCGCCTTTGCCTAACGGGTGACTTACTGTTATTTCCAGGAGTGTTGGGGGTGGAGGAACGGGGGAAGGCAGCCGGAGCCCTCGCCAGGGCCAGGCTGGCTTGGAGATGTCAGCTGGGGGAAGAGCGGAGCCACATAAGTGCCGTCTGCAGGCTGCGAGCAGCGCAGTGCCGTATTGATTTGTTTTGTTTCCCAAAAACAATCTCAGACATATTGAACGTGGCAGGGGAGACAGGGGGAGAAGAGGCGGAATCCCAGAGCGCCGTCCATCTCCACCCCTGGATCAGGGTGGCCACGTTCAGCGTGGAAGACCCTCCTCTGTGCACACCCACACTGCAGATCCCAAGCTGGGGTGGGCTGTGTGCCCAGCACCGCTCCTCGCCGACCCCATGGCTGGTAGTGACCAGGGCCTGTGAGCCGGGGCTACGTTCCCCACATGGCTGGTGGTGACCAGGACCTGTGAGCCAGGGCTACATTCATTACCGTAGTCACAGCAGGTGTCTTCCTCGGGCTGCCCCTCATTCCATCCCATCCTCATACCCACGAGGCACAGTGGTGAAGCTCAGTTTGGGCCCCTGGTTTTCTCAACGAGACATTGAGCTGTTAGTGTTCCAGTTGTAATGGACCATCCATGCCTCCACTGTCACACAACCCTACACCAATACGGTGATTTGGGGAATGGTCACACCACGTGGTCAGTGGGATGATCAGGGCCACCTGAGAACAGCCTCTCTCCTGGATATTTGGAAGGGCTCATCTCAGCTCTTCTGACAGGTCCTGGGAGGGCCTGGGACAGTGGACCAGACAGCTATTTATAGAGCAGGGCCTGGAACCGTTGGTCTGCTGTGTCAGGGAGAGTTGAGGACGTGGCCTGAGAGCGTTTGCTTAATTTGCTTAAAATCTCTCTTCCCACTCCCTGTGGCCTTGCCTGGCCCTCTCCAGTCCCACCTCCTCCCAGGGCACAGCCTGAATCCTGTCCACGCCCCCAGATGGTCCCATCTCCCTACCCCACCATGCTCACTGCTGTTCACAGGGGAGCAGTGGGCAGCAGGTGGCCACTGAGCTGCGTGAGGTATGTGCAGGTCCTGACGCGGAACGCTGGAGAAGCCCCGCCCGGAGTGTGGTCAGGCCGTGGTAAGCGTGGGCCTGCACCTTCACACAGGGCCGCCCAGGAGCGCCAGGCACCTGTCCAGAGACTGGCCAGGCCAGCGTGGGTGAGGCCTGCTGCGCCGTTCTTCACGGCTCTCAGAGCGACCTTTAAGGAGACCGTCTGTGTGGTGGCAGGCCAGGTGGGCCACAGGGGACGACAGAGCTGCTTGCTGACCTCTCGTGGGTGCGAGGCTGCCTTAGGGTGGTGAGTGTTCAGGAGGCAGGGAGTCGGGGCGGGTGGCATTCAGGGCAACGTCACGGGCTCAGCCGTAGCATCAACGGGCTGTGAATGGTCCTGGACGTGCCTGTCCTCCACAAGGAGCTCCAGAGGCAATAGGGGCCCCTGCTGGCCCCTGCTCCCCAGGCCCCCACAGCCACAAAGGCAGAGTGGAACTGCACGTCCGCGGTGCGTGGGCTCGTGCCGTGGCGGCCGTGTAAGTCAGTGGCGTGGTAGTCAGCTGCCTGATGTGGCGTCCAGTGGAGTGCCCTTCCATACATGTTGTGAACAGAGCAGAGCCGACTTGGACCCTGGCCCATGTGGCCGCTCCAGCAATGACCGGCAGTGACCAGCATGTTAAAGACAGGAGGGAATGCGAGGCCGCCAGGCTGCTGCTGCTGCTTTTTAATGTTCTGATTTGTTCTTTTTAGAGACACGTGACAGTCGAGTGTGTTCTGACACACCCTGCGTACATGGAGTGGGACTTCCCACTCTTGCAGAACATGATGGGGGATTACCCTGGTCAGTCGTCTCACATGAACATAGGAGAGTGACGTCTGATTCATCCCACCGTCTTTCCCATTCCCATCCCCCTTTGTCCCTCCCCCACCCTTACTGTGAGTCAGCGTCCACGTGTCAGACAGAACAGTCAGCCTTTGGTTTTGGGAATTGGCCTATTTCACTTAGCATGACAGTCTCCAGTTCCATCCATTTACTAGCAAATGCCATAATTTCCTTCTTCTTTAGGTCTGAGTAATATTCCATTGTGTGTACAACACATTTTCTTTGTCCATCAATCTGTTGAGGACACCTAGGCTGGTTCCATAGTTTAGCTATTGTGAATTGAGCTGCTATGTACACTGATGTGGCTGTGTCCTTGTAGTACACTGATTTTAAGTCCTTTGAGTATAAACAGAGGAGTCGGGTAGCTGGCCATTCTTCTTTTTTCCAGGGAGGCATTGCTAATGCCTCTTACACTACTTTTAAAACCTCAGACACACCTCTAGAGCATGATGTTTGAAACGCACTGGGGTGTAGATTCTTGGCTGGGGACTCTGCCTGCCATTGATCTGTGACCAGCCTGGGCTACTGGACCAGGTGGTGGTGAATCAGATGGATCCCCACAGCCACCAGCGGCCTCCTGATGGAGTGATGTTCCTTAAGTCAGTTACAGGCCAGAACGGCGACGGCACTGGGACTGGTGTCCACACACGTACGTTACGCTGAAGCCCTGGACGTGTGGCTGCTGGGACTTGCGGTTGCTCACGTCTCTGGTTCACCTGGCGGGAAGTGTAGGTCACACAGGGAACCACCGTCAGCAAATCGAGGGGAAGGGTAGCTTCTTTACAAAGCCGGGTCGGGCCGCTGGGTGAGGCTGGGGGGGTGGGAGCAGGCCTTGGGGGCAGCGTGCCTGCGTCAGGCAGCGGCTTCACCTCTCACAGGCTCTGTGGATTTGGATGAAGGTCTAACATCTTGGTGTCCCTGTTCCCTTGTCTGCAAACAAAGATCACAGCAGTGTCTGTCCCCGAAGGCCATCGTGGGAATTCAGATAAGCTGACACACAGGCACTGGTGACCTCGAAGCATGGCTGCGATTTCACCTGGTGATTTCCACCACAGGGAACGCAGGGGGCCCTGCT